TGATGATAACGACGATGATGCTGATTACGATGATGATGCTGATGATACTGATGCGGGTGATGCTGCTGATGCTGCTGCTGATGCTGATAGTGCTGATGATGATGCTGAGGATGAGGATGAGCATGCGGATGATGATGTTGCTGATGACGATGATGATGCTGATGGTGATGAGGATGATGATGTTGATGATGATGATGATGCTGCTGATGATGATGAGGGTGCTGATGATGATGCTGATGGTGATGATGATGATGCTGCTGATGATGATGACGACGACGATGATGCTGATGATGATAATGATGATGATGACGCTGATCATGGTGATGATGATGATGCTGATGATTCTGATGATGCTGATGATGATGCTGAGGATCAGATCAGCATGATGATGCTGATGATGCTGAAAATGATGTTGACTATGACTATGATTACGCTTATGATTCTGATTATGTTTATGATTATGATGATGATGTTGCTGATGCTGATGATGATGCTGCTGATGATGATGATCATGCTGATGCTGATGAGGATGCTGATGCTTATGTTGACGATGATGTTGCTGCTGCTGCTGCTGATGATGATGATGATGACGATGCTGATGATGCTGATGATTATACTGGAGACGATGCTATAATGATGCTGCTGATGATGATGCTGCTGACGCTGATGCTGATAATGATGCTGATGCTGATGCTGATGCGGGTGCCGCTGCTGCTGCTGATGATTATGATGATGCTGGTGATGATGACAATGATGATTGCGATGCTGCCGATGATGATGATGATGATGATGATGATGCTGATGATGATGATGCTGCTCATGATGATGAAGATGATGCTGATGATGATTCTAATGATGATGCTGATGATGCTGATGATGCTGATGATGATGCTGAGGATCAGATGAGCATGATGATGCTGATGATGCTGAAGATGATTCTAACTATGACTATGATTAGGATTCTGATTCTGATCATGTTTATGATTATGATTATGATGATGATGCTGATGCTGATGATGCTGCTGATGATGATGATCATGCTAATGCTGATGAGGATGCTGATGCTTATGTTGACGATGATGTTGCTGCTGCTGCTGATGATTATGATGATGATGCTGATGATTATACTGAAGATGATGCTGTAATGATGCTGCTGATGATGATGCTGCTGACGCTGATGCTGATGCTGATGCTGATGCTGATGCTGATGCTGATGCGGGTGCCGCTGCTGCTGCTGATGATTATGATGATGCTGATGATGATGACAATGATGATTGCGATGCTGCCGATGATGATGATGATGATGCTGATAATGATGATGCTGATTATGAAGATGATGCTGCTCATGATGATGATGATGATGACCATGCTGATGATGATGATGATGCTGATGATGCTGACGCTGATGATGATAATGATGACGCTGCTGACGCTGATGCTGATGCTGATGCTGATGCTGATGCTGATGCCGCTGCCGCTGCTGCTGCTGATGATTATGATGATGCTGGTGATGATGATGATGATCTGGTGATGATAATGATGTTGCTGATGATGAGGATGCTGATGCTGATGATGATGATGATGATGATGATGATGAGGCTGCTGATGATGATGCTGATGGTGATGATGATGCTGCTGCTGATGATGATGCTGCCGCTGCTGCTGCTGCTGATGATGACGATTATGATGATGATGATGATGATGATGATGATGATGATGATGATGATGATGATAGTGATGACGCTGCTGACGCTGATTCTGATGCTGATGCTGATGCTGATGCCGGTGCCGCTGCTGCTACTGGTGATGATAATGATGTTGCTGATGATGAGGAGATGATGATGATGATGATGATGATGATGATGATGATGATAATGATGCTGCTGATGATGATGAGGATGATGATGCTGATGATGATGATGATGCTGCTGATGATGATGAGGGTGCTGATGATGATGCTGATGGTGATGATGATGATGATGCTGCTGATGATGATGACGACGACGATGATGCTGATGATGATAATGATGATGATGACGCTTATCATGGTGATGATGATGATGCTGATGCTGCCGATGCTGCTGCTGCTGATAATGATTATGATGATGATGATGATACAGATGATGACGATGACGCTGATGATGATTATAATGATGATGATGCTGATGATGCTGATGATGCTGATGATGATGCTGAGGATCAGATGAGCATGATGATGCTGAAAATGCTGAAGATGATGATGCTGACTATGACTATGATTACGATTATGATCCTGATTATGTTTATGATTATGATGGTGGTGCTGATGCTGATGATGCTGCTGATGATGATGATGATGATCATGCTCATGCTGATGAGGATGCTGATGCTTATGTTGACGATGATGTTGCTGCTGCTGATGATGATGATGATGACGATGCTGATGATGCTGATGATTATACTGAAGATGATGCTATAATGATGCTGCTGATAGTGATGCTGCTGACGCTGATGCTGATAATGATGCTGATGCTGATGCTGATGCGGGTGCCGCTGCTGCTGCTGATGATTCTGATGATGCTGATGATGATAATGATGATGATGATGATGATGACGATGATGATGATGATGATGATGCTGCTCATGATGATGATGATGATGATGATGATGATGATGATGATGGTGATGCTGATGCTGATGCTGATGCTGATGATGATAATGATGACGCTGCTGACGCTGATGCTGATGCTGATGCTGATGCTGATGCCGCTGCCGCTACTGCTGCTGATGATTATGTTGATGCTGATGATGATGATCTTGTGATGATAATGATGTTGCTGATGATGAGGATGATGCTGATGATGATGATGATGATGCTACTGATAATGATGATGATGATGATGATGATGATGATGATGATGATGATGATGATGATGAGGCTGCTGATGATGATGCTGATGGTGATGATGATGCTGCTGATGATGATGCTGCCGATGCTGCTGCTGATGATGATTATGATGATGATGCTGATGATGATGATGATGATGATGATGATGATGATGATGATAGTGATGACGCTGCTGACGCTGATTCTGATGCTGATGCTGATGCTGATGCCGGTGCCGCTGCTGCTGCTGCTGATGATTGTGATGTTGCTGAGGATGATGAGATGATGATGATAATGATGTTGCTGATGATGATGAGGATGATGATGCTGATGATGATGCTGCTGATGATGAGGGTGCTGATGATGATGCTGATGGTGATGATGATGATCATGCTGCTGATGATGATGATGACGACGATGATGATGCTAATGATGATGATGATGATGCTGATGATGATGATGATGATGATGATGATGATGATGATGATGATTATGATGATGATGAGTATGATGAGTATGATGATGATGATGATGATGATGATGATGATGATGATGATGATGATGATGATGATGATGATGATGATGATGATGATGATGATGATGCTGATGATGATGATGATGATGATGAAGAAGCAGAAGTTGGTCATGATGACGCTGCTGACGATGATGATGCTGATGATCATGGTAATGATGCCGAAACGGCGCCATGCGCGACGAATTCGAATCAGAGCGGGCCTTCTGGCTTTTACCCTCGTCGAGCTCTGGCCCCCACCGCTTGGGCCTCCCGTTGCTGGGCGTGGGCCAGCGTGAGCCCCAGGGAGGCGAGCACACGATAAACCGACGGGCTTGCTGAGGCCTGTCCACGGCTGGGCGCTCGGGGCCCGCCCTCTCCCGGGGTGCCGCGGGGCCCTCCTCCTCATCCTCCCCCTCCTCCTCCTCCTCCTCCTCCCTCCTCCTCCTCCTCCTCCTCCTCCTCCTCCTCCTCCCCCTCCTCGCCTTCCCCTCCTCCTCCCCCTCCTCGTCGTCCTCCTCCTCCTCCTCCTCCTCCTCCCCTCCTCCTCCCCCTTCTCCTCCTCCTCCTCCTTCTCTTCTCCCCCTTCCTCCTCCTCCTCCTCCTCCTGCTCCTCCTCCTCCTCCTCCGCCTTCTCTTCTCCTCCTCCTCCTCCTCCTCCTCCTCCTCCTCCTCCTCCTCCTCCCCCTCCTCCTCCTTTCACTTGGTCCGAGGGGGTGGTGAGTGCACCGAGGACGCCATTACTGCTGACCCGAATAGTAAGGATGGGCAACCTTCCCAAGGGTACCCTGGCATCCTTGCCCCTTCGGTCCATCCGTTAGCGACTTTCTCAGGCCAGCCTCGTTTGAAAGAACGTACACATGGGCCTCCAAGGCCCCTGCATCCTTACCGCGCATCCTTATGGTACGAGTTGACTGTACCCCTCTTGGGGTGGCGCATAACTGACAAAGTTCACTCGTCGGAGCGTCACGGTTCGTCGTCACTGTACCCTTCTTGAGGTGGCGCCACGATTCGTCGGAGCACTGTCCATCAGGGCATGCGGGCAGCCGTCGGAGAGGCCTCGCTCCTGTTCTCCCAGGAGGCATACCCCGATCCACTTGCACGTTGCAGCAGCGTGCTGACTGCAGGCTGGCCAGCCCTCCTGGCCTCCGCCGTCGGGCAGCCGGGCGCCGCTAGGATGAGGTGCCCGTCGACGCGCCACGGAGGAATGCCCGCTGCGAGCCCATGGGCTTGCGAGCGAGCGGCCGCCACGGCGCCCGCCGAGGCAGGCCAGCGACGTGCCGCCGTGCCTTGGGCCCTTGGGAGGTAGCCTCGCTCCAACCTCCGGGCTTGGCGGCGGCGGTGGCGGAGGGAGGTCCTCCGACGCCAGCGTGCCGCTGGCGGCGGCCTCCTCGACCGTGGGCGGCAAGTACAGGTAGGGCTCCATGTGGGGCCGCGCCGGGTCGGGGCTCGCTTGCGTCGGGCGCCCCCTCCCCTGCGGGAGACTCCGACGAGGGGGCCCGCTCGTGGCTTGAGCCAATGGGCTACGGGAGTGGGGCCGCCTTGCCGTTGCCGCGGGGCCGTTCCAGGTCGTGCCCCTGGTCGTCGGAGGGGTCGTCGCATTCTGGTGGAAACTCGCCCAGGTCAAGGGTCAAGGAGCCCGAGGAGCTCCACGGCCACGCTGTCAAGGACTGTTCTCTCGCTCAGCATCGCCTCCCGCGTGCCAGCAAGCTGCCGTGCAGGCTTCGCCATGTGGTGGCATCCCTCCAGTGTGAGGGTGTCCCCAGGCCTGGCTCGGACCAACTGGGCTCCTTCTTTCGTCTGCTGGTCAGCCTCAAGGTTACCGTTCGCGTGCGTCCGCGTGATGAGACCGTCGGCCACTGCAGGCTGGCCTAGGCGCGCCTTGACCTCGAGGCTCCGCGCCCCGCCCAGAGATCAAATACTAGCCATCTGCGCCCTGGGTCCTGCCGCCCTTCGCGGCGCCGTGGCTCAACGGACCGTTGCCAGGCAGCCAGCGTGCAGCTTGTAGCCGCCGCGTGCGATTTTGTGCGTCGGCATCTTGACCGCGCGGCCTTCTCCATCGCTCTGGCCCTTGGTCCACGGGCACTGCGCCCCGATGAGCGTCGCAGACGACGGCTGCCCAACTGGCCGTGGGAAGCGAGGGAAGGTCAATGCCCGAACCGTCGACAAAGGTGTAGGAGCCAGGGTCCAGGAAAGCACCCAGCTGGTGCCACGACGCTATGCAGCGGAACTCCACGTCGCGCGCCCTCTTCGGCCGTTCAAGCAACTCCTCCGCGTTGGGGACGCGCCCGCGCGCGAACAGTTCCGTGGATGGGGGTAGCCCACACTTTGGGCCGCCGCCGTCGCCGCGTTGAGGTCTCCGTCGAGCGTGTCCCTGCGCCAGGCCTCGTGGGAGACGCACTTGTGGCGAGTGTGGTGCAGCGAGCCGTCCTCCAAGGCGCAGGGCTGGCAGTGCTTGGGAGCCGTGGGGTCCCCAGCTCCAGACCGAGCATGGCACCAGTAGACTTTTCGGAGCAGGCCGCGGAGGGGACACTGCTGGTGGTTGCCCCAGACCTCGGACTTGTGGTGCAGGAGCTCCACGACTGGTCTCCATAGCGGGACCACCTCCCAGTTCCACATGTTGGGTCCTTGGCGGGCCAAGGCTCGCCTGCATTCGAGCATGATCAGCTTGCCGAAAAAGTGCTGGTGAACGGCGCCTGACGTCGGAGATCTTGCCCCTGGCGTCGTGGATAGCGAACGGATCCTCCCCGACAAGGCCCCAACGGACACTCTGTAGTGCGAGGGCGATGGCGGAGATGGAGTCCTTGCCCAGTTTCCAGGAGGCGCGTCGACTCTGCCGAGAGCAACCCTTTGTGTAGGCAAGTGCTGCCCACCCCTTCGGGTAGCAGACCAGGCCAGCTCAAGGGCTGCTCCTCTGGGAAGTCGGCCTCGTGACTGTGCCGCGCCCACCCGCAACTGGCGCGTGTGCCCATCGGGGACTCCCACGGCAGCTGAGCCCCACGGCGCCCGTGCGGTGGGTCCTGCACGGAAAGCTCGCGCTCGTCGCACACCTAGAGGTTTGCACTGACACCAACATCGGCGGTGTGCCCCCGCCGACGGAAGATGACCCAGATCCCGGGGGTGGTGGCAATATTCGGGCCTCCTAAGAGGGCCCGACAACTACCACCAGCAGCAAGATCCGGGACGACTCTCCCGAGGGGGAGGCACCCGCCTGTGCTGGTGTTGGTGCCCATGTCCAAGCCTCCAAGCTCGGGGAGCTCCCGGCTGGAAGCGGCGAGGGAGCTCTCGGCCCCTGGGCTTCCGCCGCGTGTCCTCGCCGCCGGCAGAGCCACCGCCGCTCTCCAGCCTGCGAGCGCGAGCCCGCGGGCGCGCCGCCTCCCGCCGCGGTCGCGCCCAGGCCGCCCACGGAGTCCGCGTTTTTTGAGGTCCCCGCCGTCCTGGCGCACGAGCTCCATCTTGGATCGGAAACTGGAGCACGTGGCGGGCTGAGGCTCCATCCCAGGACTTTTTTTCGAGGGCCAAGGGCGACGTCGGGGCGGTGTGGTGTGCATTCTTCCCGTGAGCACCAGACTCCGTTTTCCCCTGCGAGTCTCAGTAGAAGTTTCTACGTCCTTTCCTTAGATTTGACGGGGGAACCAAGCTTCGGGGTACATCAATTCACCGACTCGAATTTTTGAGAGCCGTAGAATTCGCCAGGGCCTTGGCCTTCTTCTTCTTCTTCTTCCTGACGGGCAGGTTGACTTCAGCTATCTTCACGTTGAAGGCCATGCAGTCTGTCCCGAGCTGCCGGGCCGCCGCGCGGCGTGTGCCGACGACGCTGTCCGAGACGTCGTCCACCCCACTCGGGAGATGCGCGCCGCCGGTGCTGCTGGCGCCGCTGCCTGATGGCGATGACGATTACGATGATTTTGATGAGGGGGGGATGCGGACGAATCAGTGGATCATCATTTTGATGACGATGACGATGGTGACGATGATGATGAAGAGATGGCGGATGAGTATGATGAGGCAGACGATCAGGAAGATGAATCAAATGATGAGGATGATGAGACGGATGATGATGAGGAGGAGGAGGAGGATGACGAAGCAGACTAGTACATTGAGGATGAGGTGGAGGAGGATGAGAACGAGTATGGTGATCAGAAGGATGAGGATCAGGAGGATGGGACGGACATGGAGGATGAGGAGGAAGAGGGTATGGAGGACGAGGAGGATGACGATTGTGGTGATGACTGTGATGATGACGAGGATGGCGATGATGATGACGGTTGTGACGGTGATTGTGGTGGTGATGATGGGGATGATGATGATGATGATGATGATGATGATGATGATGATGATGATTATACTGATGATGATGATGATGCTGATAATGCTGATGAGGATGATGATGATGATGATGCTGATAATGATGATGATGATGAGTAGGTTGATGATGCTAATGATGATGATGGTGATGATGGTGATAATGATGGTGATGCTGCTGCTGATGATGAGGATCGGAATAATGATGAGCAGGATGATGCTGGTAATGCTGACGACGGGGATGATGACGAGAAGTATGATGAGGAGCAGTTGGATTTTCATGAGGATGACGATTGTGATGATGATGGTTGTGATGATGATGATGATGATGATGATGATGATGATGATGATGATGATGGTGGTGCGGATAATGGTTTTCGTGGTGATGGTGATGAGAACGAGGTTGATGATGCTGATGATGAGGATTGTGTGCTTGGCGGGGATGGTGATGATGGTTACCATGGTGGCGATGTTGACGACGACGATGATGACGTGGGGCATGAGGAGGATAATTTGGTGATGATGACGACGATGATAATGAGGGTGATACTGGTGATGATCGTGCTGCTGATGATGCTGATGATGCTGATGTTGATTGTGATGATGGTGATGATGATGCTGATGAGGGCGATGATGATGCTGATGCTGATGAGGAGGACGAGGCTGAGGGTGATGATGTCGATGTTGACGATGATGTTGATGATGGTGATGATGCTGATGATGATGATGAGGATGAAGACGATGACGATGCCGATGATGATGGTGATGATGATCTGCTGCTGATGATGATGATGGCGGTGCTGATGACCATTCTTATGCTGATGCTTGTGATGAACACGGGGCTCCTGGTGACGACGCTGATGCTGCTGATGCTGAAGATGACCATGTTGATTTGGATGGTGCAGATGTTGATCATGCTGATGACTTACGATTATGACGATGGTGATGCCGCTGCTGCTGACGATGATGCTGATGATGATGATGAGGTTGATGATGATGATATTGTTGACGGTGGTGGCAATGATGCTGAAGCTGATAGCAATGACGAAGATGATAAGGAGCAAGCGAGCGACCGTGGCGTTGCCTGAAGGTGTGCCGAGGAACAAAAGCTCATGCTGGAGGCCGGCTGTGCTCGGGCTCCAGGCAGAAGCTGCGCTGCGTGCAGCACTCTTCTGTTGCACAGAGAAGGAATGTAGAATCTGTATCGTGTGGCGAGCGCGGATGCTGCCGCGCGCACGTACTTGGGTCGTGTCGGTCTGTCTTGGTGGCCGCCGCTGTCGAGCCACGAGGCGCCCTCTACCGGCCAGCACGTCAGCTCGTATCAGCTCTCGATCGGCTGGGCCCGCAGCCTCGATCAAGGAGTCCTCGTACCTGTGGATCTGGCCCGTGCACATCATCTCACGACAAACCTATGAGCTGTACTGGAAGTGGTGGACGGCCCGCGGTCGAGATCCGTAGTCCTGGCCGCATGCCGGGCATGTGGACAAAATGCAGTATGCCCGAGCCATGGCGTTTATGTGACGGGCTCGGTGCCGGTGGCCTGCGAGGCCGCGCCATCCCCTGCACCACTTTTGACACAAGTCGCACTGGTGAAGCTGCTGCGCCGGGGTCTGGGTCGAGCGCTGGGCTTCGGCGGCTTCGACTTCGGCAGCCGTTGGTGTATGGGCCTGCTGTGTAATTACACCTGGGCGATTCGGGAGGAGGGCGATCGCCTTCACAATCCTCTTCCAACATGGGCGGGATGCATTGATATAGCGTGCCTGCTGCGCAGGTGCCGCCGCAGGCGACGGCCGATGAGGATAATGATGAAGATGATGATGATGATGATGATGATGATGATGATGATGATGATGATGATGATGATGATGATGATGATGATGATGATGATGATGATGATGATGATGATGATGATGATGATGATGATGATGATGAGTAGGAGGGGCATGAGGAGGAGGCGTGGAAGGAGGAGGACGAAGATGAGTGATGAGTAGACGGCTGGAGAGGAGGAGGAGGAGGAGGAGGAGGAGGAGGAGGAGGAGGAGGAGGCGGGAGAGGATGTGCAGGCGGAGGAGGAGGAGGAGGGAGGAGGAGGAGGAGGAGGAGGAGGAGGAGGAGGAGGAGGAGGAGGAGGAGGAGGAGGAGGAGGAGGAGGAGGAGGAGTAGGAGGATAAGGAGGACGTCCACAACCGAGTACGGCTCGAACCACTGCTGCGAGCAGTGTGGGCAGGTTTGGGGGAGCGTCAGCGCGGGCGGGCGCAGACGGGGCTTCTCCTCGAGGCCTCCCCGGGCCAGGGTCCGCGCCGCGGCCTCCTCGAGTCCCTGATGTGGGCAGGCCGCGCAGCTAGGAGGAGGACGAGGAGAAGGGGGAGGAGGAGGAGGCGGAGGCGGAGGAGGAGGAGGGGGAGCAGGAGCAGCAGGAGGAGGAGGAGGAGTAGGGGGAGAAGCAGGAGGAGGAGGAGGAGGAGGAGGAGGAGGGGAGGAGGAGGAGGAGGGGGAGGAGAGGAGGAGGAGGAGGAGGAGGAGAGGGAGGAGATGGAGGAGGAGGAGGAGTGGGAGGAGGAGGAGGAGGAGGAGGAGGAGGA